ATATGTTTTAAAAACAAAGTGGAATATCTTCAGAACGGCTCCAAATGACACAAAACTCATATGGGTGAGTAGAACATGATGGAATAACGGAAAATCAAGGGGCCAATGTAAAAAAAAAAAAAACGGCGTTCCCTTTTAACCAGGTTTGTCTGATTTTTCCATATGCATGTTTGTAGCTGTAACTCTGTTGTTTTCCAGGTGGATTCTTCGCTTTCTTTTCTGGACGGATTTGTGTCGGAGGCGTTGGCTGCAGGCGCGGCTCCTTACAAGCCTCCGCATCAAAGGCAGGAGGAACTGTCTCGATCCAAAGGTAAGTAAATGTTTTGGCAGAGCCTTGACTGCTTTGCTTGGACCTGTCCTGATCCTGTCTTTTGTCGCAGCTCTGAATCTGGAGCCTTATGGACTGTCGTTGCCAATCAGCACGTCCTCCTGCAGCATCACAGACAGACAGTCCCCCACGCTGTTGTCCATTAGCTCTGGTCTCTCAGGAGACAGCAATGATTTCTCACACAAGGGCAGGTACATGGACACACATCCAAGGTGGGGATTTATCTTTTTTACTCTCTTGATATCTAAAATTCTTCTTTTTTTCAGCTCTACAGCCTTGAAGCTGGATGGTGTGAAGAGGCTGTGGGGCAGAGATGGTTATCTGGTCCAGAAAGAACCTGCAGAAAACCCCCCCCAGACTGAGGTGGCCAGCCCAGTGCGGACCGTCGACCAGCAGGCTAACACCAGCAGCTCAAACGGTCAAACTCCGACACCAAGCCCTGAATGCGATCCTGAGAAACAGCAGCTAGCTTCCTCGCTGTTCGTCGGTCTGGCCTCCCAGAGCTCCGTCTGTCTGGTGAGCTGAGACAGAAGGACACACATGTCAATATCAACTTTATTTATTCCTCCTTCCAAAGTGCTCTCTGCCATGAAATGACATACACAGCATGAAATACTGATAATTGAGTTAAAATACTAAGAAATACAAAAAAAAGCAAGTTTTACAGACAAGGTCATCAAAGTTTCACTGATCACCACATCACTGTAAAACAGGAAATCGACATACGCTAATTAAAAGGTTAAGCTTTTCAGGTTGAACGTGTGAGTCGGTGAGGGGAAGGTCTACTTCTGATCACTTTCCAGGACAGCACCGTCAGAATTATACATTTGTCCGAAACAGGCGAGGGAATTTAAACCATAGGAAGTACTGATTTGACATATTTTTCTATGATCTTAGATAAAGGATCTTAAAAAAAGGATAATTTTGACCTCTAACAGATGCTGGTGAAGATTCTCATTCACCCAGTTCATCATCATTCCAAAAAGTTAAAAATCAATCCACTGGACTTTGTTTCCAAGTTTGAAGATGTTTCTCTTCCTTCCTCCTTTAGCTCGGTCAGTTAGCCATATTAAGCTACACTACTTTAACTTTGTGTCAACAACAACCCTTTCTTTTCTACTAGTAGAATAACTTTTGTTTTCTTTGTCTAAGATCTCTACAAAAGTCATTGTTTAATATCTTCCAAAAAGGGACTATATATAAGTACAGGCCATTTACCATTTTTAACCCACTAAATTACGTGAAACCATTGAACGCAACCTACAGACGTAAACACAGCGCTTTACTCTCTTTTGATCTAACAAGCAGAATCAACTGTGTTACACCCCATAAACATGGAGCAGCTCTGGTGAGACGGATTCAGACAGATAATAGAGCGAAACAATAAATCACAATGACTACGCCCTGGCATCCTTCTGTGTTGCTCTCCATTGTTTATGTCCCTGATTTCTGCCAAACTGCCAAATAACATCATCACGTTGGGCACAGCGGGGGACAGAGGCCACGCAGCTGCCAGCGAGGAGTTAGACAAGCTATATATATATGTGTGTGTGTGTGTGTATATATATATATATATATATATATATATATTATTTTTATTTTTTCAATAAGCTTACTTGAACTGATAGTTTTCAGTTTAAATTAATACTTTTAAAACAGAAGACAAATGAATGTTTGATTTTTACACGTCTTTGTAGACAAATAATACAAGACAGTAATAAAATATTAGGACGTAAATAAAGGAGAGGGAAAGTTGCAAGTAACTTTAATTTCCGGTCTTAATTATTTAAGTAAAAGTTTATTTAATCATAACCAGGGGTGTAAATCACATTCATCATTGCGATTCGATTCAGGATCGATTTCCTGACCCAACGATCCGATTATTTTCGATACTCAAGAATACACCACGATTTGATTCGATTAATCGATTATTTTTTTGTTTTTTTTATTATTATTTTTTTTACACCTTACAGGCTAAACAAAGTTTCAAGTTTGAAATAAATCAATGAAAGCTGTAATATCGTTATGCATTTTTTTTTTTAGAAACAACAGCAAATAACAGAAGTAGAAAAGTTGCATCAAAAAATGCTGCAGAAAATCAGTGCAATGAGTGCAATGATTCAATCCCTCGGCTCCAGACGTCCCGCCCCCTCCACAGACGCTCCGCTGCTCCTCTCCCAGATTGTAGCTGACCGCAGACAGTGCCGCAGACAGGAGGCCGGCTTGTTTTGTTTTTATGACCAAAATTGCGGAAAACAACTCGTGAAGTTTGACCCGCTAGCAGAGCGAGGTGCGCGAGAACGCTGGGACCCTTTTTCCATCTGGATCTCCGCTCTTTTTGGCCCTCATGTCCCTCCGTCGTCGGACTAAACTCGCCCCCACTTCCTCGCCGCCTCGGCCGTATCTAGACCCACAGCGTGTAGCGCAGACCACGCTTTAATATTGAGCATAAATAAAAAATGTCTGCATCAAGCTCACTGCAACACACTGCTGTAAGAGTATAACCAGGAAGCAAGGTAGGAGGGCAAAATAGGTTTAGCGCCACCGCAGCACCGGAGGGAGAATTACGCCCAGGAGCAAATGGATAAAAATAGACCGGAGGAAAAAAAAAAAACATGAATCGATTCTCTTGCGGACGTATCGATGCATCGGATCGTCGGCTGTTGGATCGATGCATCGATACAAAACAATTGCTATTTACACCCCTAATCATAACCAAGTCTTTTGAAACTGCTGGGAAAAAAAACAAAACATTTAGTATGAGGATGAAATGCTGCAGCCACTGGTTTATAGATTTCTGTTGACAAAGGATAAATCCAAACTAATTTCTGGTGCAATAATACAGATGTATGTTAGAACCTGATGGTTCCTCTTCCACCAGATGGGAAAGCCGGAGCCAACATCCCAGCGTTTCAGAAGAAAACCCAAAGAATCAGGAAGTACTGAGCGAATAACGAACCCAGCCGTCCCGCCCTCTAACGGGGCCGATAACCTGCTGTGTAAGAACCTGCTGGACTCCTCAGACCTGGACATTTCCTCACCTGAAGAGACGCACAGACTCCCGGAGGACCTCCCTGCTCAGAACGGCTCCTGTTATGCAGAAGACGAGTCAGCAGAAACGGATCCTCCTCTCATCATTGATGAACCTCCTCCGAACGGACACTCAGACGGCTCCAAAGACTCGTCCCTCGCCTCACATCTTCCAGCAGAGCTTTCTGCGTTTCCTCGCTCTGAAATCGTCCCCCTGCACTCCAACCGAAGCCTGGCTGTCTCCGCCTGCCACGTTCAGAAAGAGGAAGCGGTCTTGCTTGTCGTCTTTGTCTCCAACTGCTCAGATTTTATCCTTCAACAGATGCGACTGCAGGTCACCTCTGAAGAACTAGAGGTGCGTTATCGGAGGGAAAACATTCAAATGGGTCTCATCCAAACATCTTTTATATAATGCCATGTTTCTTTGAAGGTATCCTGCGTGTCTGATGGTCCACCAGAGGAGATGAAAAGCAACGATGTAGCAGTTTATCAGTATTTGCTAACTGTAAAAAGACCCTCAGTTCACTTTGATCTGTCTGCAACGGCATGTTGGCAGCTGCCCGCAGACTCACCTCAGACGGCGCAGTTTTCGCACAAACTTCCTCTAACAAGCTTCATCAGGTGAGAAGATCCTGCGATTTAGTTCCAAATGCGTCTTCACTGGGCGCGGCTGTTTAAAGTAATCCACTGTGTTTCCTGCAGAGCTTTGAGGCTTTCCACGGAGGAGTACGGAGCCATGTGGCTGGCCTACTCTCAAGACACAAAACAGAACCTGAGGCTGATAAACGACGGTCAGGATCCACTGGACGCTACTTTAAATGTACTGAAGAGGAAACTCCACCTTCATGTCGTGGAAGTTATTGGTAAAGATCGTTTCTTGGTCAGACTTTCCCTAAAATGTTTCAATTCAGTTTATTTCTATAGCGCCAATTCACAACACACGTCATCTCAGGTCACTTTACAGAGACAATTCAACCAGATCATCCAGTCGCATAGTTTTCTATTTAAGGAAAACCACTTAATTGCATCGACTCATTGACTCAAATGCGATTCCTCACACTAAGCATGCTTGTAGCGACAGTGGAGAGGAAAAACTCCCTTTGAACAGGAAGAAACCTCCAGCAGAACCAGGCTCAG